TATATTATGTTTTAAAGTTATTTCTCATAATAAAAATACTATTTTTTCTTCTGATTTTTTTTATATATATATAGTTTTCTTTTTTAATTAAAAATTGTTTAATATATATAATTTATATATAAATATATTAATCATATTAAATACTATTAAAAATGAATGCATTTTATATTTATTTTAATATTGTTTTTCTTTGAATATAAATCTTATTATCATTAAAAATAAAAACATATATATTATTAAAAGAATAATTCAATAATTAAAAATAACTCTATAAATTATATATATAATAAAAAAAAAAAAAATGTCATAAAACCAAGAATAAAAGCTATAATCTCCTGAATTTTAAAAAGCGACCACTACTCATTAATTTTCTATAAAATCAGTTGATTTATTTTAATTTATGAGAGAAAATTGTCCAATAACTCCCGTAAATTAACTCGAAGATAAATAAAATACATATAAACCTCCTCAATAATTTACTACAAATAATGAATATGACGAAAATAATAATTAGAAATAAAAAAGCCCTTTTTTTTAAGATATTTTTGATGGTTTTTAATTGGACGAATTAAAAAATCAATAAAATATTTCAACCGAAAAAACAAATTAAGAAAAATAATAATAATTAAAAAGTAATGAAAAAAAAAGCGAAAATAATCTAGAAAATTAATAACAAAATCTAGTTTAATAATAAGTAGGATGTAAATGCACAAAATCACGATGTTTAAAACTTTATTGCGAATGTTTCCAAAAAGGAAATTTTTGTAAAGAAATTTGCAAATGTATTCAATGTTTAAATACCGAAAATAACATAAAAAATATATAAGATGCCAAAAGGAATATTCTTTAAAGGAATACGGATGCTTTTACATCAAAAGTAGAGGTTGTGACGCAAATTATGAATTAAAATGATCTTAAAAATACAAATGATTCTTTATTGGATTAAACTAATAGCATGTTAGGGTGTAAAAAAGGATGTAATTGTAAAAAAACTAATTGTAAAAAGAAATATTGTGAGTGTTTTAATGTAGGGGTTAAATGTTCTTATTTATGTAAGTGCGAAAATTGCATGAATTAGGATGAAGAAGTAAATAAAAATAATAAAAATATTGATAGTATATATGTTTCTCCAAATAAAAAAAAAAAAAAAAAAATTAATTAAAATGAAGAAGAGGATGAGAATAATTAAAATTTAACTCCTAATATAATATTATGATTTTTTTTTTTTTTTTTTTTTTTTTTTTTTAAAAAAAAAAAAAAAAAAATCCTTTTTTTATTTTACCCTGCCCCCCCCCTATCCAACCCCCTTTATATACTATTTATTTTTTTTTAAAAAAAAAAAAATTTAATTTAATTTAATTTTTTTTTTTT